TGGTTAAAAATCTTTTTAATAAACATTGTTCTGGTTATTGAAAAAGGTTGCAACTTTGACTGGACATAGTTTACGGGTACTCTATCTGGCAATGTCTCCAGATGGTCAGGTGTGTTGTGTTGTAGAATGGCATTCAAGCTCAAGTATATATATCATTTGTGTGATCTGTTAAAAGACCGTTTTTTTACATGACATTTGCAGACAATTGTGACTGGGGCTGGAGACGAGACACTCAGGTTCTGGAATGTTTTTCCATCCGTAAAAACACCGGTAAGTTTTCCGAACCTTTCTAATCTTATTTTTAAATTTATACAGAATTTTGAATTCTTGCTCTTTTCTCACACATTTTCTTATTTGTACTATCAGGCGGCGGTTAAGGACACTGGCCTTTGGTCATTAGGCAGAACTCAAATCCGATGAATGGCGATGATCACATGTACTGATGCTACAAAATAATAACCATCATGTGTAAAGTATAACTAAGAATTACACATACCTCAACCTCAAACTGAAAGGGGGCAANTTTTTTTTTTTTTTTTTTTCTTTTGGTCAAACGGTAATTTAGCTGGGATCATTTTATTGTAATTTCTCATTCAAGAATCAAGCAAAATTGGCCATTGAATCGTAGTATGTGTCCTAGACACATTTCTAGTTATTTGATTATTTTATAGAATGAGATATTAATGATGTTAATTATGGTTCCGCACTATTTTAGTTATTTGATTATTTTATAGAATGAGATATTAATTGATAAAATATAACTTTTTAGTCGCTTAAATCAATGATACTTAAGAATGAGACACCCGTGCTCAATAGATTGACATGTAATCTAAATCATATTATTGCTAATATCATTTGTCACTATTATGAACATTCGTTATTTGTGATGGACATATGAATACATGGGATATTGTTGATATTACATTGAATATTATTGATATATAACGCAGTACATGTTATTTGTGATGGACATATGAATACATTGGATATTGTTGATATGACATTGGATATTATTGATATATAATGCAGCGAGCATGTACTGAAGGGAACAAGAAGAGTATAAACTCACAATTTTTGTATTAATGAATCAACCGATCAACTATGAGATGAGATAAGAAATAAATAGTCCTCCTAACCCTAACTAAAGTACTCGTCCATCATGTTTTTTCAAGTATGGCAGGGTAATCATGTCTTTATCATCCTCCCTCGATTGAGAAGGATTCATCCTCGAATCCAGCCGAATCTCGTCTTTGTCCGAATTATCGCCAAGGAAAAGAACCAAATGTTTGATGTTAAACACGTCAGAAGTGCGAAGATGCGAAGGCAAACGGACATTGGGATTAAATCTCCACAATCTCGACGGATTTGATCTTTCGGGCGGACAACTTGTTGGACTCATGGGCCAAAAAATGATCCTTAGTCAATACCGCCCAAACAAAATTGCTCACCTCAAACTCCACATGCCATAAAATCTTCCGCTCGACAATCGCGAGGCTCCGCAGACAATAAGACCACTAAATTCGCGGGACACGCAGTTGAAAGTAAACGCTGCGCGTTGACGACGTAAATGCATATAATTTATTTGGAAGGAGTAAACATGAATTGCTTCATTTTAGATGAACATGATGTGCTAGGAAACAAATTCCTTGAAATAATTTTCATAATGAGTAAATCGGACATAAGTTCTTATGTGAATCTATCAAACAGTTAATAAGCAGGTCCATTTGTATTTTTTGAGATATATTTATCTAATGATATATTATACTTTTTTAAATATTGGTTCTTACAATACAAAATATTTAAATTAAATTTTAAATACTTGCTGATAATAAAGCAACTCAAAATTGAGGTAAAAATTTCAAAGTAACAGGTTTGATAATGTCACTTGAAAAATATGGTTTCATACATACATCAAGGGAGACGATTTTCATTTTTCACTGATCCGAACTACGGTAAATTATGGGTAAAAATTTTATCCGTGGAATTATATACTTTCATGTAGATCCAACTATTAAAAAACTTAAGAC